AGTTTTCATTCAGATTTATTTGCTCACTTCATTGCTTTTCATTCAATTAGAATTTATTAATGTAAAGATGGATAGTGGCTAGTAGTGGAATCCAATTTGGGACTCGTCAGCTTGATGTATCTGCTTCCCAGTGAGTGATGTTGTTCCCATTAGGATTCGGATTCGTGGGCGATCCACTACTAGCCACTATTCATCTTTATTATAATTAGAACTAACTACACAGGTATATCAAGGCATGTGGAAAGAAGCCCATATCCACATTGAGACTGATCAATTCGGTCCAACCAACCACTGGATAATACAAGCGATAACACTAGATTATGATTTGACTATGTGAGATGGGCGTAGTTGAGCATAGTGTTATTTGTACTGGGAACTGCTTAATGATTGAAGGTGATATGAAAATGTGTACTGTGGCTGGATTTGAACCAGCCACCACTGTGTTGGAGGTGCAGTGCTCAAACCAACTGAGTTATTTCTGTACGGACCAGAATTTTACCTACACTTCAACCACGAAGGGTTGTATCACCCGACTACCATGTGAGGTTGTTGACGCGTTACTACCACTTGATCGAATTCACACTGGTTACCTATTATTTAGTCAGCGCTTCTCATCCCAGTAACATTACCGTAATGCTACAAGGTTATTTCATGATGTTTTAGTACTTGTCCTTTGGGTTCACTATGGAACATGGGGCTTCATTAGCCCGTTTCTGGTAAACTCTGTTCTCTGAAATCTTTTAAGCCTGCCTCCATGACAGCGCACATGCTATCATTTCTTCCTCGCCCTGTTTCCTCCATATCACCTTTAGACGCCCAACTAGTCGCTTCCCATCGGGCTTCCACTCGACGGCCTGACGCGTGGTGTCCACAGTCGGTTTTCTCAATGTATGCCCAGTCCATCTCCATTTCCTTCTGCATATTTTTTGAGAGATATTTGTAGGTGCTTAGCATTGTATTATTGTGACCTTCCTTTCTTTTGAGTTCAACCTTGCTGTCATGATCCTGGAGGAGATTGGTTCCCAGTGCATAAGAACCTGCGATGCTCTTAGAGACATCATGATAGCCACTCCAAAACTTAGTGTACTTGTGGTTGTCATCTGGATGTCCGGAGAAGATCATTGATTCTTCAGTTGACACTGAATAGTCCACTCCCATTCCATCTACTTTCACAAATTCCCAGCACTTCAGTGTGATACCTTCTCATCTCATCTGCAATCTGCGCTGCCTTGCTCTGTCCAAACATGGTGCGGATATTCCATGTCCACACGTTTACTTTCGCTTTCATCGAGAGAAGACACATCGGTCAGTTGGCTTCCGAAGGCTTTCACTAACCGGTGTCCTTTCGCCTCTCAAACTTCAGCGAGGAATAATTTTGCTTTTTTTAACATTTTGTTTGCACTTTGAAGTTTCTTAACCGATTGGATTTGTTTTCCGGTGTAGGGTTTCTACCCCTATGTCCAACCTTCCCTCTTTACCCGGGCTTGAGATCGTCTAGTAACTAGTGGACTAGTTAACCAGGCGAGGCTTCCACAGTCACCTAACTGATTTGAATTACTCAGATTACACTGACTTGCTAGAATAAGACACTGATTACAAACAGCATCTTCTGAACATGGTGAACAGAAGTCTGAATATGTTTAGCATGCAGTTTGCTGTCACCGGGACTGGTCTGTAACTGATCCCGGTCTAAGGGCTGGTATAAAGTGGAGTAGGTTTCTTTCATCTCGAACCGCTTGGTTGCTGACGAAAACTCAGTTCACATAGAGAAGGTCCATTTGGCATTTGGTAACTTGTATCATCTATATCACCCACTGGCAAGATATTCAACTGCCTGGTAATGGACAAGTATTATCTTTTTATTATTATTTGACCCTTGGGTTTTCAGTCGAACATAGAGCTTCAGTAGCACATCACCATTTCACTTTCTCCTGTGCAGTCTGGCACCACCTGGCTCTATGAATCCCTGTAAGCTTTCATTCAATCCTCACGCCATCTCCTCCATGTCACTCTCACACCCTCCCCCCCCCCCAACTGGTTCTTTCCCATGCAGGTTCCACTCGACGGCGTGGCTTGACGCGGGATGCCCTCCAAACTGTCTTCTCAGTGTATGTCTAATCCAATCCATCGCCACTTTTTCCCTCTGTACATTTGTTCGGTGATAGCTTATTGATTGGTTGGTATGTTGCGAGACCCGTTTTCCTTGCTGCTTATTCTTTCTGGCCTTCTGATCTGATCTTCAGTATTGAATGAGCGTAAGCGGCAGCTGTTGATGATGTATGTGTGCAGTTTGTTGGAAATGCTTTTCGTAACATACCAAGTCTCTGAACCATAAAAAAGCACTGACTTGACATTATGCTTAAAGGACGAGTAAACTTCGCTACAATCTGTTCAGTTCCGTTATACGGCAGTGGGTATTGATCATTAGAAGCAAAGATAAGATTTTCGGCCATAGGTATCTTTGAAGCATAGACACCTTAATGGTGGAGACACCATGTTAGCAATGTAGAGGTTTGACGAATCGTGTAAGACAACCAAGGCAAGTCACTTGATGTGGTTTTAGAACCTTCAACAACTGATGTGAGTCAAACATGTGTTGTGTAAACCGCGAAATCTCCCACCTCTACAAGTGATGCTAGTAGAAGGCAGATTAGGTTGGAATAGTGGTCAGGATGGTGAGAACAAAGTTTCTGATTGCTTTCTGAACCCTATAGGGAGGCGTACACGGCCTATTTTTTGCCTCCAAGATGATTGCAATGAATGGTTGATGGCTCTTGGTGATACGACTGCCTTCAAATCAGCCATATATCTTTTGTAATGGATTAAAATGATACTTATCATCTTCATTCATCATACTAACAGAGGTAATTTGTTGTTTAGCCTTTGCAAGACATTTTCAGTCATTCTGAACTGAATGTTGCGAATGCTTCTTCCGGTATACACCTTGAAGTTGTGGCTAGTTAGGTTCGGATAGCTGACTTCCACTCATTTTATCGAGGGTTCGAAAAAGGGGCTTTATCTACAAAGGTTTAGTCAGCAAGATTTAACCATCAGCCTACCTTGTCAAACTCTAGAAGAATTGCGACATAAGTCTTTGCAAAAACTGGCGCGGAATCATGCTCCACTCCTGTCCACCCCAAGCAAAATATTAAGCCGCATCATCCTGGAGAGACTAAAGGATGCACTGCATTCAAAACTACAACCAGAACAGGCTGGTTTCAGCAAGAACAAATCATGTTCGGATCAAATTGCAACGCTACACTACCCATCATCATAGAACAGAGTATAGAATGGCAGTCAACTGGATCTTTACCTCAACTTCATCCACTTTCAAAAGGCCTTCGACAGCGTCCACTGAGAAGTGATTTGACAGGCAGCTGCTTCAACACTACAGAATACCACAAACTTTTATCAACCTCATTCAACAGCTGAGCTATATGAAGAAGCCACATACCAAGTAATTCACAATGGAAAGCTCAGTGATGCCTTTGAAGTGAAGTGGAGTGAAGACAGGAGTAAGACAAGACAAGGCTGGTATCTACTATCACCATCAATCATCTTCCTGATTCTGGTTGACTGGATCATGCAACAAACAGTAAGGAGTGAGAAGAAGACGGTACGCTGGCTGTACCGGTGAAAAGATGGTGAAAGATTCGCATTTCGCCGATCACTTGTGTCTAATGTCTTGTCGCACAAACTTGAAGATCTACAGGCAACATCCAACAAGTTGACAGAAGAGGTAGGGCAGGGCAGGGAAGGGCAGGGCAGCGAAGACGGGACTTCAAGTGAGAGTAGAGAAAAGGCAGATGTGATGAAGATAACCAACCAATGCCACCACCACCACCACCACCACCACCACCACCACCACCACCACCACCATCACCAACAACAACAACAAGCTCCATTCACCATGAACGGGAGAAACTGAAAGGAAGTAGCCTCCTTCACCAACACCTATCTAGGCAGCATCACCTCAAGTACAGGTGGCACAGACACAGATGAGGATGTCAAAGTCAGCGAGGATCGGGAAGACAGCAAGACAGGTGTTCATTAGCCTGGAACCAGTGTGAAGATCTTGTTCACTCATCAGGAAGTGTGAACAAGATAGAGATTTCCAACACCAATTCAGTCAAGTCAATGATTGTATGTGATGGTTGAGAGACTTGACGTGTTACGAAAGGCATTTCCAACAATCTACACACATTCATCAACAACTGCCTACACTCGCTTGACACTGAAGATCATCTGGCCAGATAGAATAAGCAAGGCGGAACTGTGGCACCGAACCAATGAAGCCAGAACCTATTGCCTAAGAAATATGCAGATGGAAGTGGAGATGGACTGGGCACGCAGTGAGAAGGCCGATTGGGGACATCACGTGCCAGGCTGTCTAGTGAAATCCAGATGGGAAGCGACGAGTTTGGCGTCTGAGGGGAGGGTACTATGATGGAGGAGATTGTGTGAGAAAGAAATGAGATCTTCTGGGCTGTCGCGGAGCCAGTTCCAGAAGACTTTAGAGAGAAGAGAGTAATGGAGACGCGCTACTGAAGCCCTATGTTTCACTAGGATTTCAAGGGACAAATAATAATAATAATAATAACTGTCTACTACATGATTGCATACAGAGTCACTGTGTGAATTCCAAGTTTTTCAATCAAGTTTATCTCATACTTATTCATGAGAATCGCTTCTTACTTTAGTAACGCGTAAAGGACTTTTACTCGATGTTATCTCAACAGTTTCCGTTATCACTAGTTAGTGTCCTACACAGATTGAAGAATTATGAAGTAAAAAAGACCAGAAACTGGTCACACTTTAATACCATTGTGAAGGGATACAATTTTTCGCAGACCACCTACTATTTGCTTATCTGATCACTTACAGGTAGGTTATAATGACTGTTACTCGTCTTCGGTGTGAACTCAACCGACTGATTAGATGTATGCCTATAAATTCTTTACTGACATCGGATTTCATTCTGTTCGTTTGACTTTTTCTAGCGATTAGCCTGTTACCATCCAATTCATTTATCTATGAAGCACGTAGTAAATGTCGTGAACAAATGTTTTCTACTGGTTTAATCAATTCATATCAATCTGCACTAATCGATTATAGATTATCACTTTTAGCAAACAATGAAATAATTCGATGATTCAGTATTGAACATTTATTGAAACAGTCATCTTCAAGGTCATTTCACTGGGAAGTTAGTTACATTTACCGCCACATTTTTGCTCAACTGCGTTCAATGTTTCAATAGATGGAAAATTATCAATTTGTGTAACTGAAGTTGCGTATTTTTCGTTTATATTGATGTATTTTATGGTTCGTGAACTAGTTATTCCCTCAAGTTTCAGTAATTTTTGATACTTTGTCAAGTTTTTTAATAAACATTCACACCCGCTTCCTTTAAAGAAGGATAATTTTTATAAGAAAATGTGATGGTTAGTTTAATTTTGAGAAGATAAACATTCTTTCAGTTGTTTAATGAATCATATGATACTGAGATGCTTCTCTTGGAAGCTACGTGTGGAATGAGATCAGTTGAGGAAGTATGGAAAACCTGGGAGCTGTTTTGCCGTGGTCAGCGATTCCTCAGAAGTACCTGCCCATAACCATGACAGGGGTCGAACTCAGGACTTTCGTGGCGAACTCATTCACCATTTAACAACTAGATTAACGCTCAGTAGTCCACAGGTTACTATTCAGCGATAAAACATTCTTTCCAAAATCTAACAGCGCTGGGTTCGATTCCTAGATAGGTCATAGATGTGTGTTGCTTAGGGACCCCATATTAGGACAAAATAGGTGCAATTCAGCTCCTTAAGATTTTTTAATGGTTATCCAACTGATGAATACTTCATTGAAAAGTTTGTAGACACAAATGTACTATTCAAGGGTCGATTATTGACTTATAGCAAGTTCGTCCCTCGCCGATATGTTTATCATCATCATCAGTGTACACTTCTAACCGTCTTTAAAGTGTACTGTGGAAATCACCAAGTTTATCTTTGATGGACAGTGGCCAATAGAGGAATTCAAAAAGCTTGTTTCAGTCTACTTGGATTTCATCACCTCAATGTACTTGACTCACGGTAGGTAGTTTCAGTAACGTTTACCTTCGAATCCAAAAAACTCATTTATTCAAAAGCCAGAGGGTTATCCATTTTATTGCAGAGTTTCGACAGCCACTTTATGTACGAAAGGCATAATTTGATGATAAAGTGAGTACTTTGACTTAGTGGTATTTTAAGCGGTGAGTGGTTTGTTCGAATCCCACCAGGAACAAGATCACACAGTACGAGGAAGATACGTGCACCTGACTCGCCCTGTATGAGACGAAACATGCATCCTGAGCTCTACTGCTATCCACTATCTATCATTAGTAGCAGTGAGTGAAATATGAGTGATTTGTTTCGATTTCACGAACCCTCTTCAGCTGTTTACAACCCAAAAAGTACTTAAGTGTAATAACAAGAAATTATTGATCGAGGCTTCATATACATAGTTTTTTATCTTTAGAGCTGATTTCCTATTGGTCAGATACGGTAGACACATGCTGACCTCCGGAGGTGAATTTAGGCGACGAAGTTGTATTTAAGACCAGTCGTTATTGGTTAGCAAATGTAGTCTGGCAGTGAAGGTTGTTCTACTTTGGCACTGGATATCCAAGGGGTACACCTTATGATTTTCAACTTCAAAGTATTGGCTAAAAGTTCGTGGATGAAGCCTGTTTACTGACCCCTTCGTTGATGAGATTTCAAATGAGATATCTCGGATGTATACCGTACATATCAAGCCACCGTGAACCTTCACGCGTGATGCTAGAGGAAGTTGTGTAAAGTTGGAAGGGGATTCGAGGTGGCCGAAGAAAAATTTGGCATCAGTTGATAAAGTTTCCTCCTTTTCGTCTTTTTCTGTCAACCTGTTCTCTGTATATTATTAGTAAGTGTGGCAACTTAAGGTGGTCAAAGTTTAACAGTTGACTCGAATTTAAGTCTTGTCTGTACTATCTCCCTAGTTGGGTAGAATACAGAGTTGAAAACCTCTAGGCTGTTGGTTAAAAATCCTACCACTAATCATGTTTACGCGTTTTACTTCCAATCACCACCCATTTACATTCATACTAATCAGCTGATGAACATTTATCTCAGATAGTCTCACTTAACGGAATATGAGTAGGTAACCAATTAATCAGATAGCAAAAACTCTGTGTTCGATTTCTGTCAGCACGTATTGCTAAGTACCTAAAGATGAGTTAGAAACATAACTGTCTAGTACTCTAAAGTTTTAGGTGGTCCGGTAGCTAATGCCATTTCATGAGAACTAGTCACTGAAAGCCACGAAGTGAAAAATAGTAGTACTGGAGTACTGTGAACTTCACAGCTTTTTATAAGGCGTGAGTTCAGCGTCACCCACCAATAGATTGGCTTTTATTTAGGCGTATTTTCATGGAAACGGTGGATACAACTGGCTGTGTACTTCTACTAAGACAGTAAACTCTACAGTTGCCAGTATAAACCCGTACCTTCATAGCATGAATGACAGTAAGTGCTTGAGTTTGTTTTTCCTGCTAAAACCAACCCCTTTCTCACCATGCTTTTGGAAACTCATTCCCCGGCCAGGAGGGATAATATAACCTTCGTCACTTTAAACTTTCAGTAGCGACCATCGGTGTAGTCACCAAGGTGAACATCGCGAGCTATCTCGGTCCTACTAGGATGTCACCCGAGGAAGATATCAGGCATACAGCCAACAACCTTCATCATACCTCATATGTAGCTTACGCCCTCTCATTAGCCAAAGGGTTTTCATTACTTCGAAACCGTATCACAGAACGGAAAGACAGTGAGTCGGTTCACAACCTGATAACTGCTAAACACCAGGAGCTACAAGAAAGTCAACCATCGTGCAGTGTTTGGACAATGGCTCGAAATAACAAAATCGCTAGAATCACCAGCAATGCAGCTATCTAACTGAAGACAATGTAACATGTGCAGTTCGTTAAGAATTTAGTCAGCTACCTTTGAGAGACATAGTTACTTCCACCGATAGGAATGTCAGGTAACTACTGTAAACTACATTCAGTTGATTACAATACCTATAAGTTAGTAGTATATTGTGTATTAACCAAAATAAGTGCCGCGAAATATTTCACTTGAAAAATTCGCTGAACCACAATGACTATCAGGTGTATAAAGTTTTAAAAAAAGATAAAAGAACCTGAATAGTAATGAATTTTTTTTTAAAGCAACGAGATAAACCCAGCTCGTCAATAAGTTTCTTTTTCCCTGATAGACAAATATAGAACAATTTAAGCTGAATCAGTAATGAGTAAAGTTAATAAAACAATATATTGTGTGTAAAAGTTGAAAAGTGGCGGATAAAGTTCTAAAATTCATAAGATTCATACTGTCAATACAATTGAAACCATTGAACTAACTAACTAGATCTTCTTACCAATTTCATTGTAAATAAACAAAAAATTAATCTATTTTTTGATATAGATAACTATTTAAAATATATATATATATATATGTGTGTGTGTGTACACTGTGTTTGTGTTCCACTCGTTACAAATACTTTACTAAAGCCTGTTCAATGTGTTCAATGTCGAAGGGTGTTCAAGGCGGGAAAATTTAAATTTAATCATATTGACAATTGAAAAAGGATTAAATTAAAATAAACCACAATCTTTTAAATTTGATTTAATTATTACATCGATAACAGCATCGAAAACAACACGAATATTATTATTATCTGTAGCGCAAGTGAAATGTGTATATATTGTTTTAGTAGTTTTTCTACGATTAACATCTTCAAATTTTTCACGAATATAATTTGATGCCTCTTCATAAGTTTGTCCACCAGTATATTCTGGAAAACAGACAGTTAATGGTGATCTTGTAATTTTTTCAGCGAATAAATCTTTCTTATTTAAAAATAATATCATACTTGTTTCAACAAACCATTGACTATTACATATTGAATCGAATAATTGTAATGATTCATGCATACGATTAGTAGTTTGATCTTCAGCCAACTTTAAATCATATTCAGACATTGCAACAATAAAAAGGATTGCTGTAACACCTTCGAAACAATGTAACCATTTTTTACGTTCAGCACGTTGTCCACCTAATCAATTCATGAATAACAGAAGAAAGAGAAAAAAAAAAAAGAAAAATTAGTTGATTAAGTGGAAGTAAAAAAAAAGAGAAAATAGTTTCAGCAATTAGGATAAACTGAATTATGATTAAACAAAATAGGTAGTTTATTTATTATTATTTTATTAGTCCCTTGGGTTCCTAGTGGAACATAGGGCTTCAGTAGCACGCCTCCAGTGACCTCTGTTCTCTGAGATCTTTTGAACCTGGTTCCACGACAGCCCAGAAGCTCTCATTTCCTCCTCGCACGAACTCCTTCATGTCACCCTCGGACGTCCAACTCGTCGCTTCCTATGGGATTCCACTCGAGGGCCTGACGCGTGATGTCCTCAGTCGGCCTTCTCAGTGTATGCCCAATCCATCTCCACTTCTTCCTGCATATTTGTTGCGTGATAGGTTCTTGGTTGGTTCGTTCCCAGAGTTCCTTGTTGCTTATTCTCACTATTCTGGCCATCTGATCTTCAGCAGCGAGCGTAAGCAGTTGTTGATGAATGTCTGTAGTTTATTGGAAATGCCTTTCGTGACGCGCCAAGTCTCTGAGCCATACAAGAGCACTGACTTGACGTTGGTGTTGAAAATCCGTATCTTGTTCCGCATGCTGAGTGCAGAAGATCTCCACACTGGTTTCAGGCTAATGAATGCCTGTCTTGCTTTTCCGATTCTGACTTTGACGTCCTCGTCCGTCCCGCCTGTAGTTGAAACAGTGCTTCCTAGATAAGTGAAGGAGGTTACTTCCTTCAAGTTTCTACCGTTGACGGTGATTGGAGTTTGTTGTTGTTGTTGATGGTGGTGGTGCGGTATCTTCATCACTTCTGTCTTCTCTATATTCACCTGAAGTCCCGTCTTAGCTGCCTCCTCTGTCAGCTTGTTAGTTTTTGCCTGCAGATCTTCAAGTTTATGTGACATTAGGCATAAGTCATCGGCGAAATCCAAGTCTTCTAGGTTCTTTTCCGTCGTCCAGTGTATCCCCCTCTTGTCGCTGCCTACTGTTTGCTGCATGATCCAGTCCACCACAATTAGGAATATCATGGGGGATAGTAGGCAACCTTGTTTCACTCCTGTCTTCACTTCAAAGGCATCACTGAGCTTCCCATTGTGGATTACTTGGCATGTGGCATCTTCATATAGTTGTTGAATGAGGCGGATAAAGGTTTGCGGTACTCCGTAGTATTGAAGCAGTTTCCAAATTACTTCTCGGTCGACGCTGTCAAAGGCCTTCTCAAAGTCGATGAAGTTGAGGTATAGGTAGTGGATTGGCAATAAAATCCACAAAGTATCCTTTAATTGTATTTCAGATGCTCTAGGATTTCAGGTAATAGATGTCAGATTCAAATCATTGACAGCAAGGTGAATTCTACTGACGGGGTCAGTTTTGAACAGGACAAAAAAAAGCGTACTGGATTCCAGCTACATCGAAGCTATCAAAAACAGATATCAGTCAATCCGATTCATTCCATATTTTGTATCTCATTTATACACCTGTATGTCGGCATACAGTAAGAAGAAAAACAGGCCAGCATAATATCTCAGATAGGCAGATAAAAGTGATGAGAAACACAAAGAGTTTTATTGAAATCAGACACTTGAAATTCAAGCCATTAGTATAGACTAGCCATTTCGATATAGAGAAATAAATAAAGGGGAAACTATGTGTACGATAAGTGAATGTCATCACTGTATAGACTCAAGAAAGTGATCTTTAGCCTCAAGCGACATACATTGCGTGTTTCAGTATCAATGGAAAAGCCGTCACTCACTGAGCCACATGTAAGTTCGAATGATTAGTCTCCACTGACTGACTAGTTTACTGACTGGCTGACTGGATGACAGACAGATTAACTGACTGACTGACTGACTGACAAATCAGCACAGGACCTTGCACACACGTACATCGGCTCAAGTTGCTACATTCCACAATAGTATTAGTAGTAGTGTGGGTAGTAGTAGTAGTAGTGTGAGTAGTAGTAGCCTGAGTAGTAGTTGTATGAGTAGTAGTAGTAGTAGGAGTAGTAGTAAATCCGGAACTTCATGGATTTGTTCTACACCATGGTGTGACTTTCCTCAACTCTCTCTAAACCCAATCCAATTTCCCATAGCATGGAACCCCGAGGTAGGTGGTTGCTGAGCATATGCAGTAAATATTAAAGCCATCTCAGTCGATGAAGTTTCACAACCTCATCAATTGACTTTCTGGCCCATCTTGACTAGTGACCTTCGTCTGACTTCAACATTACTCACCCGATGATTCTACCAAATCCGATAAATGCCACAGAGACATCTATAATTAGACTACGACAGAAGGATATGAGATGATAAAACTTGAATATATCTAATCGCTGTCATCCTCTTCAAACAATATCATCGAAACTCTACAAATCGATTATTTGAACTATAACATCTGATGGAACTCAACCATATAATACACTTCTGAAGTAATCGAGTGAATAATAAAAAATTTATGAAGAATACTAACGTAATAAGATACTTAGACTGGATACAAATAGTGACTGTTCTCCCTGAGTACCTCATAATTCATTCAGTCAAGAAAATACCAAAAGATAAGACTGGAAACTAGAAATACACCATTTATATGCAACACCTTTCAAGAACACATAAAACCATTAAGTCAAAAAGGTAAATGGTTTGTTCTGATTGGTCAACTGTAGCATAAAATTGTCCAATAAGATCTTTCCTGACCACACAGCAACAGAAAGTAGAAATCGGAATAGAAAAACTTCTCATTTGGCGACTGATGACTAAAAAATGTTGATTTCCATTTAATTTGCTTCTTATTAACGAAAATTAAATTAAATTCCATTTATAGCCATCAATTGAGATGGTTTGGATATATACTGTGCACGATATGTAATCCTAAACGAAATTGGATTAGGTCAGAAGAGAGTTCATGGTGGGATCAGTCAATGAAGTCTAAACTATGGTAGTTGAAAACTCTTGGTGATATGGTTGAACATCAATCTATCACAGTGGCACAGATGATGTCAACAGTGACCAATTCATGAAGTCTTCAACTGTTTTTCTGAGTTATGTAAAGGAATCTAACCTTCCAACTTCAAGTTTATGCAATAATCTAAGTCAATTTTTCGAATAACTCAAGATGTATGACCTGAAATCGATCATAGATAAACTTACACATTCTCTTGTCAACAGCATTTCGAAGCGAGTGTATATTCGCTATCTCGACACAAAAGATGCTCTAGCAATTCAATACTACAAGCCTCCTCTTTATATTCAATAAATCTACACTCAATCTCTAGTTTTCCCTTGATGTTAATCTCCCTACTCATTTTTTTTCGTTTACTCCTTGTTTATTTATTGTAACAAGTTCTTGATGACCTTGATTTGGCCTTGTGGCCACTATCACCTTGTCACTTGATTGGCTGTTTTTGATGACCTTGTATTGATCCAAAAGACGTTGATGGAGATTTATATATTGTCATAACTATGATAATGATTGTACAGCTTCCTTGAATCGTCTGTTACTAATTTTACTACCTATTGGGACTATTTTGGTTCTTTTCAGAAATAAAAAATGAAAATAATCACCTGATTGTCAAAGTGATGTACTTTAAACTGTTGTGTAATTACTTCACAGCAGAATTCTTGTTCCTTCTCGGTGTACATTAACTGACTGACTGACTGACTAACTGGCTTCCGAATCAAACAATCTACCACAATGTACTGAAAGTACTATATACTACTGTAATGCTTATAAACATTATATTACTGAATTTTGATAAATAGTTTGTGAAAATTTGTTCATCTCCAGGCATTTTTCAAAACAGACGAATTTGAGTCAGTTGAAGTCATGAAATCTTCATAGCGTTGAACACTGATGACGACGTGAATGACCGAATCCGGAAGTAGAATATCTGTTATTCAGCACAGTAGTATTCATTCAGTGGGCGGAAATTAATTGATGACATGGTAAAACAACTATCCCATGGCATCGGTGAATATCTGTCCTAACACCTAACTTGGTTAACATCCGCCTCTGTAACTTCAGGAAGTGGCGTATGATAACTGGAGAATATTTCAATTCTACTACTGATCTATGAATGGAATATCGAACTGTAGGATAACTTCCTTATGATAAGATTAACCAACTGAACTGTAACATCCTATGGTAATCAAAAGGCTATAGGTTTTTCATTTCACCCTCAAACATTGAGTTGTATCAATAATTATTTTACCAGTGATCCAAGCCATCCTTGTATCTCAAATAGTTCTGTCAGCGAAGTTGTCTCCTTTTAAAGCAGGACTAGAAATAGTTCACAACTTCACATTCTATAGGTAACAAGTATAGGGCAGTGATATTTTGAAGTGAAAATGTAATTTATCTTTGAAAGAGGATTCGAACTCACTAATCTGTACTTCCTCAGACTAAACTTTACTCCTGATAGATTGATATTACTGTAGGAATACTGCTGAAGGTGAGTAGTTAGTATCATAATTATTCACTAGCATGTAAACTAAATGTTCTATGCGAAGAACTGAAGAGGTTACGCAACTAACTACTAAAAAGCGAGTTCGCAAAGAATGTTGTCCTGCTGTGTAATGATGCTGACAGAATACAGCGTCTTCTGGACATGGTGAGCAAGAATCTGAATATGTTCAAGATGCATTTTGCACTTGCTGAATGTAACATCATACTCTAGGAGTGATATGTTACGTAATGATGGGGAGATGTATCAGCATGAAATGACTGATTGCTGATGAAATCTTAGCCTGAATATAAAAAGCAAGTTTGATATTCCCTAACATGGATCATCTATGACCCCGATTTATGAGATATCTGACGACCTATTAAAATTTCGTTCTGTATTGATTAGCCATGGGAGTGCAACCAATTTCATGTTATCTAGTCCTGAGTGCAGACCGAATTCTATCGATCATATTTGCAATATGGCAACCAAGGTAGAAGCTAAGCATCACGGTACACATTGGTAGATG